ACAGCAACACTGCCATTATTGCTGGCAACCCACTGGTTGGGGCACATAAAGTCATGCATTAGTTCATCATCCTCGACGTTCTGTGTGGCTTGAATAGGAGGCAGTTGAGATCATTCAGAAGCATTTTGCGGATAAAGTGAGAGCAAAAATCAGCCCCGACCGCACTTATGATGCCAGCTACTACAACATCACTCCATACCTGGACTCTCATGGCACCACTCATGTGTCCGTGCTCGCTGAGGATGGTATGGCAGTATCTGTGACCAGCACCATCAACCACATGTATGTGCACTTAAGTAGCATTCAATGCATTTATACACACAGTGAGATCATATTGTCATTATATTATTACTTTATTAAAGAATGCAATGATATGCAGGAATTCAATTGTGCTTTAGAAAGGGTCAAAACTGACTGTTTCCTTCTCTCTTCTCAGATTTGGATCCAGAATTTTCTCCCCCAAAACAGGCATCCTCCTCAACAATGAACTTGCAGACTTCTGTGGAAAAACAGACCAGATTCATGCTGGTCAGTAAACATTCACAAACTAAATCTTGACATAGCCAGCTACCAAAATTAAAAGAATATTTTAGGATCGATACACATACTATCAACATTTGCAGTTGCAATTGGACACTTACAAGTGGATACACACTATTTAAAAAAAATGCACAGTATATAATATAAGTACCATATAGGTTAACAGCCAAGATTAGAGATTTGACATTTTGATATATTAGAGATTGGATATTTAATTGTGCATGCTCTTTTCACCTATTTTTTCTTTTAGATTACATGCGACACTCCCTTAATATACTAATAACCTGAAAAACTATTTTAATGTAGAAATGTCTAGTAAATTGCACAGATAATTACGAAGCAACTGCAAGTAACAAATTCAATTAAACATGAAATTTTGACGTAGAAAGAGTAAAATAATTTTCTTGTAAAATGCACACCAACAATCTTTTTTTTATATTTACAACTTTCAAAAATCCTTTTTTTCATTGTTATTGAATAACAGTTATATTATAGATGTAATGTTTAGCAAATCTCACATTGATTTAATTGAGTGTTTTATTGATTTATTTAGACAAAACAGTACTGAATTTGAATCCATAGTATGTATAGCTTATCAGGCATAATATAAACATAATTATCAGCTTATCTGTATCACCTAAAATTTTAATATCGATACAACCATTATTTAAAAAAAATAGAGCCACTTGGCTCAAACATTATACTGTTAGGTAATCTAAAAATGTTCTTCATGTGGTAACGTCTAAACTAATTGGTTTATTCAAAATGCTATTTAACTTAAAACATCAAAAAACGTTTGCACCTGTAGCGTATGCCACATTTTTTATTTCTACAACAGAATGTGTTTAAAAATATATGGTTACCTTCAGGTGCAATGTCTTTTTTATATATTGGTTGTTGTTGTTGTTTATGCAGGATAAACCAAAAGACATGCAACCTTTGTACCAGCTACAACAGATTCATTATGTCATCTTGTTATTTAATCAGACTAAATCAACCTGACAAATTAGGTTACACTAACACAAGACATTTTTATGGGTTAGATCAAATAAAAATAAATCCTTCAGGCAACAATTGCAATTTATTCAGTGTAGAACGATATCCCCATCTCAGAAACGATGATTTATGCAGCTTCACAGTTCAAATAATCCATTAATTTGTACAAAATAATTTCTGTAAGTGCTTCAAAAAAAATACAAATGCTCGATAGAGTTTAACTTGTACTGAACACTGACTATTCCTTTGAATAAGAATGGAGGGATATAATATTTTGACACTTTGTGGATATGTCGTATGTGTATTATCTGTTCTGTGTGTATTTGTGTGAAGGTGAGCAGCCCCCATCCTCCATGTCTCCAGTGATACTTTACTCCCCATCTCAGAAGCACATTGTGGTCATAGGAGCCTCAGGTGGCAGTATGATCACCACCGGGGTGGCTCTGGTGAGTCTAAACTGCACTTTAACAAATTGAACACATTGTGATTCAGTAATCCAACTCTAACCGAAACCCTTCTGACTAGACTCTCATGAACTTCCTGTGGTTCGGCAAGACTCTGCAAGATTCCATCAGCGCCCCTGTAGTGTTTGTGGACTCCAAAAACATCCTCAACTTTGAGCCCTTGTTTGACAAGGTAAGTAGATACACACGTTTCCATGTGGTAAATAGTTTGTAAAGGATTAGGTGAAATTTCTAAACCACTTTCATCTCATTTCTTCCTCAGATTGTTCTGGAGTCACTTTACAAGATTGGGCACAAGGTCAAAGTCCCACAGATGTTTTATAATGTGGTAAATGCTGTATCAAAGGAAAACAACTGCATAGTGGCTGTATCTGACTCGCGGAAAAATGGAAAAGCTGCAGGGTATTGACCTGGAGTGCAGCTGGAGACTGTAACTCACACCAGCTCTGCTTGATGCATCTGTGCTGTGTTTGTATGAAGTAAACCAGGCGGATGACAAACTGACAAATAATAGCAAGCACCATCAATATGTGAAGTTTTGATGTTTTACTGTGAAAAACATGAACATTTATATTCATTATATCCATTTTACTGTGAATAATGTGTGTTGTAAATACATTATGTTGATGAATATATATATGTATATATATATATATATATATATATATATATATATATATATATATATATATATATATATATATATATATATATATATATATATATGTATACACAGTATGTGAATGTTATTTCTTAATAGTTTGCAACACTGCTTTAGGCACACGTTTTTAAAAAGTCACTTTGTATATTACCCAACTTGCTTGTATAATGTGAGTTGATTTGTGCACATGGCTGTCAAAGAGGGCAAATATACAATATGGTTCAAAAGTTTGGGGTCTGCAAGGTTTTTTTGTTTTTGAATTCAGCAATGATGAATGAAATGAATCAAAATATATTTCTAATGTTATGAAATATTTATATTTAAAATAAAGGCTGTTCTTTTGAATTCTATATTATTTAAAGAATCCTCAAAAATGTATAACAAAAATTAAGCAGCACAATTGTTTTCAACATTGATAAATGTTTCTTGAGAAGCAAATCAACATATTAGAATGATTTCTGAATTATCATGTGACATTGAAGACTGGAGTAATGATGCTGAAAATTCAGCTTTGCATCACAGGAATAAATTACATTTTAAAATGTATAAAAATATAAAGGAGTTATTTTAAATTATAATAATATTTCATAATATTACAGTATTTTTTAAATCAAATAAATGCATCTTTGGTGAGCATAAAACACTTATTTTTAAAAAAACAGTTGTAAATTTTTTTACTCACCTGAAACTTTTGAATGGTATTATTTAACTTTTTTTTAAAGACACTGGTTAACATTTTGCAAGTTTGTTATCTTCAGGTTTAGTGTCTTTTTTCATAGTTATATATTGATAACCTTTCGTTTAGCTTATTTATGAAGGTGAAACCAAAACACATGAAGCCACAACACGTTTTACATAAACTAATTTGTTGAAAAAGTTTCTACATTTTCTGAATGTCTTTGATTGTTCATGTCATTGCTAATAATTTCTCATGTCATTGCTAACTGATCTCTAACTAAAATCTCAACTTTTCCCCATTAGAATATCCAATAAATAAGTAAAAATTAAAATGAAATTTTAAGCTATAAAAAATCAGTTTGAATGTTTAAGGGTTGTGTATGTGTTACGGAGTAACCAGAACATGAGACATGCAGATCCATGTGCAAAGCTTTTATTAAGACGTGGTCATAAACAGGCATAGGTCAGACATAGGCAAACTGGTATGTAGAAGACAAGGCAAGGGTAGTCCGGTAAACAAGCGAGGGTCAGTCAATGACGAACGTAATCCAACAGGGCGAGACTAGAGAGATAATCCAGATACAAAGCAAAGGTCCAGGCAGGGGCAAACAGTATCCGAACAGGGCAAGACGAGAGAGGTAATCCAAGGTACACAGGCAATGATCAGAAGATGAGGAAACCGGCTCGGCTCGGCTCGGCTCGGCTCGGCTCGGATACTTAAAGCAGGCTCCATAACGTAGCTATCACAACTAGCGATATGCGCATACAATACTCGGCAG